TGGACTGTGAATAAAACTAGACATAATTCTGCATCAAAAAGCAAAAACATATAGGCAATGAATGGTGTTAAATGTGAATCCTTCGACTTCTAAATAATTTGGTTCAAATTAAAGAGGATTATTGCCGGCAATTAAAACTACAACAACCACGACAAATATGTTGACTGAAGAACTTTTAAAAACACCACGAAGCGAGGAGTCACACCAGTCATCATCAATGCCATGCAATCGCCTATTAGGTATATAGCAAAGCGAAACAGTATTATTTACTGGATTACGTTTCGAACACAATTTATTGTTCATAGTCACATCAATTTTCATCACACAACTTCAAAACTCCCTTTTTACAATCTTCTTTATTTTTTCCTATTTGTCGCTGGGGTAGTAGAATTTTACGCATATCTGGGACAGATGTTGGATCATAATGAATAAAGTTAAGAAATCTAGAGCGGACCTTATGTACCAGATGAAGCCGTTTCTAGTTTAGTTTAAATGGTTTAATTTAATGCCAAAAACTAATAACTAATAGTAATAACGATCTCATTTCTGACTTAGGACTTGAACTTAGAACAAATGTGCCACTTGAGGACAAAATGCTGGGAGTGCAGCCATGCCTGACTTTCACATTATTTAAATTCCAAGGGAAAATATACAAACAAACTGAGGGAGTTGCCATAGGATCATGAATATCCCCGGTTGTGGCAGATATATTCATGGGAAGGTGGCAAAACATGAAACATTCAGCCCCATCCCAAAAGTATGGTGGAGGTATGTAGATGACACATTCACTGTACTTAGAAAACAGGAAATAAACAGATTTTTCGAACACATCAACTTGAAGGTAGAAGCAATTCAATTCATGGGGAGCTTCCAATGTTAGATTGTAGAATAAAAACGAAAGAAGATGGGAAGTTATTTGCAGGAAAACCACACATTCAAACAGATATTTGGACTTCCGATCATCCCATCCTATGTGAGTGAAAATACGATTGCTGAAATGTTTAATTAATAGGGCAGAAAAACTATTTAGTACCAAGGAAAATCTAGGACAGGAATTAAACCATATTAGAGAAGGTTTGAAACTCAATAATTACGCTGATAAATTAATCAGGAAGTATGTAGAAAAATGTAAAAATTAAATTAATTATAATGGTGGTGATAATAATAATAATTTTAATGACGACATGCATGTCAAACATGCACAGGATAATGACAGCAAAAACAATAGGGAATATAAATCATCAGTAGTAATTCCATACAAGGAAGGAACCTCGGAAACCTTACGCAGAATTCTTAACAGTGCAGGAATAAAAGTGACCTGCATTCAAACCCACAAACTCAATTAGAAACATGCTTTTTTGGTTAAAGGATGCTGTCTGTGGAACCAATTAAATAAGACAATTTAGTTTATTTGATACGCTGCCTGCAATGACTGTCAGGTCAAATACATAAGTCAAAGTAGTAGAACAGGGTCAGTAAGCCTAGCGGAGTAAGAAACCAAGCAAAATCTAGATTATTTGATCCGAATAAGATAAGAAATCTTGAGAATACTTCAGCTATAGCACTACATGCAATTACACAGAACCATACAATAGGATGGGATAAGATGACAGTTTTGAAATCGAATGTAACCGGGTGGAGGGAAAGATTGATTACGGAAGCTTTATTTGTCGAAACAACTGCAAACAGATGCAATAGGAATGATTCAACACCTACCCCAGACATCTGGAAAATTCTACTACCCCTACGACAGATAGGAAAGAATAAAGAAGACTGTAATACGGAAGTTTTGAAGTTGTGTGATGATAATTGATATGACTATGAACAATAAATTGTGTTCGAAACGTAATCCAGTAAATAATACTGTTTCACTGTGTGATATGTCTGAAAAATTCTCGCTTCACTGAGCCTTGCGCTGTACTTCAGATACTCATTGAGTACCTTTAACGCAAACTGTTGCTCCGAAGATTTCAGTGAAGCGAGAATTTCTTTGGACTTCATTCTTGAATGCATTGAGAATATATCTAATAAACAAACAAATATGGAATTACGTACTACCACATTGCCAAAGTTTTACACATATATGAAATGCCATGCCTCTATTTCGTTTGTAGTTTGCTCTCCATCAGTTTTCCTATTACTGCCTAGATATTGGATTACCTATTATGCTTAATTGAGAAATTTTATTACACTGCTTACGGAAGAATATGGTTGTCTACATATGTGGGAAAACAGTTTATTAATAAATTTGTTAGTCTCAGTGTCGCTTTACTATGATTGGTTGCCTAAGGTCATTTCGAAGGTATTTGGCGGTAACTACCCAAAGTTTAAAATCGCCTCACTGCTATCGACAAAATCAGTCATTTTTTCATCTGGAAAGATAAAATTAAGTAGCATGATCACTTCACATTATTATTTGTCATGTGAAGATAATTATGAATATTGACACGAAAACTCAATAATAATAAGTGGAAATTCATCTGAATACAACAAATGACAAGTTATCACAGAAGATAAATCTTGCCTTTTTAGTCTACCTTCTACGTTCCATCCGCAGTCTGTGTGAGTTTGTGGAAGGAGTAAAACGCAAGTGATTAGTTCGACATTACCAATGTGTCAAAGTACTGAAGTCTTTCTAGACAGTAGCTGATCAGTTAGGTAAAGCCCAGAACCAGATATCATCCCATGACCCAATTACTTAATATTAGTTTTACATGAGCTGCTTTCACTTGTCCACGCTACCAACCAGTTCGATGGATAGGCCGTTCAATATCAGTTCAGTTTAATTTTATCGGCCGAATAACCAGTAACCGCATAGAAGTACAACAACAACAACAACGTAAACAATTAGAACATACATTTTTAATTAAATTATGGTTTTCCGATTGATTGACTGCACCGAAATATTAGGCCTCTGTTGACATGTCAGCACCTGATCCGGATGCTTCAACGATGTTCGAGTATCAACTTGAAGTAATTTGGTGGACGGTGAATTAAAAACAGATAATAACTGACACCCACTGCACAAGAAGTGGCTGTCGTGGCTCGTGTGGTCTAGCGAACAACGTTTTAGCGTTTGGAACGAAGGGTATGTTAAATCTCCGTTACCAGTTTGTAATAAGTGAACTAAAATTGAATACATCCATTGCTACTTAGTTATGTCTGCGCCTGTTAATTACTATAACGGTAATGAACTCGAATGGTACGCTAATACGTCTATTTGTCCGTTATACCTTCCGGTTCAATGAGCCACTCAAATATCAAAAGACAAAGGCTAGCCTGTGACTGTAAGATTCTGTATTATACTGTACTGCACCACAAAGTTTAAGAAACAACACATGATATTTTTGCATTTCCGTTACTATAATAAAGTCGGCTCACAACCATGGAATGGACTGTTCTAATTGGCTGGATTTGTCTATTGTCAGAGATTGGTGATCAGACAAAGATCAAGGTGAGACAAAGGAAGATGAACTAGTCACACGCTAAATCACAGTATGCGTGAGAAATGATACATTCACATGATAAATCACACGATCCGTGGGGAAGGATGATATACCATTTTATGCTGGGTCCTATCACTTCCCCCTGTAAAAGTGTAGGACTGTCTTTTGGATCTGGTTAGAGAAGTTTTGATTTTCCGACCAAAATAATTCATGTTTGACATAACTTATTTCAGGGAGAAGTATTCGGTGCTGTATGATAAGGCAGCAAAATCTATCGAAGGTTTTTTCTCATTCTTCTCTGACCCTTCGCCGTAATGAATGCACTCTTATAGGCACCGACGAAGCGTTCACCTTGTCTATAGAATTGGAGTTGATACTAAATTGGACGTTTACGACGTGAATCAAGCTTGAGAGGAGAAGAGAATTGGCTAGACTATCGGCAACAAAACTTTTCCCGGAAGAATGTTGCATGCTTTTGATGCGAGTGTTGACACACAGATTGACGTGATTTTTTTTCTTTCACGTTCCCCAATGGAACATAGGGCTTCAAGCGCGTGACTTGAAGTTTCTGTAGAAGTGTTTATTTTCCAGGATAGGGTTGCTAGCCTCATGCCCAACCTTTCCTCTTTAGCATTATTTCTGGCTCAGCGAAGTAAACGAGTGCGTCGGCCGGAGATCGAACCCCGGACCATGTGCATGGTCGGCGAGCGTCCTAACCGCTATACAACCGACGCCACACAGATTGACGTGATGCTTGGTATGAAATGAAATCATTTGATGAAAGTGACATGTTAAAGCATACCGAATTTAATGGAACATTTGAGAGATTAAGCTTATCTAACCATTCAAGACCAAGTAAATTCAAATCGTCATGGTGTTAGAGATAGAATGATATACTATTTTATGCTGGGTCCTGTCAGGTTACGCGGTTCGACTCTCAGTAGGAACACTGTCATTCACTTGGGGAATGAAGGTACATCAAGTTGAAGAGTCCCAAACAGTAAGAAATGAGCATCCTAGATTCCACTAAATTACTTCAAGTGAAAACACACGGTAAATGTTAGCTCCGTATTCATAATTCAAGCTTACACGAAGAAGTATATTGATGTACACCTAAAAGGCATGATTCAAATCTCGAAGTTAAACAGACCCCAGTAAAACAAAACTTATAGTTTTTCAACGTTCATCTGGTGAAGTTGTTCTTCAATGACTTTCCCTATTTTCTTGTTGAGTGAAGTCGATTTATATCAACCGCACCTCAACAGACTATCACTGTTTCAAGGACTCCTTAGTGGAAATTGATAAACATTCATAAACAAGATTCAGGGATTCCAAATAGAATTTATCAGAAATGTGACATTTAATCACTTGAGTTGGAGTCGATTTCTAGACTAAAATTATTATACGTGTAGGTCTTATTATGTGATACTAATTACTACTCATTGTCTAACCAGTGAATTAACGAGTTTTCATTAAAATCTATGGTTTAGAAGACCTTCACACTCAGTGTTTTGAATTTAAACACCTAAGCAATTACATATACACTTATATACCTTGTAATAAAGATTTCTCTCTCTTTCTATTTACCTTCAATTGGCGAAAACCAACTGAATATTAGTTTAATATGATTGGTTAAGAAGTATAAAGAAAAGGGATAGTGGGAGTAAATTTTAGAAGTTTATTGATCAAAATCTAAGCGAATCTGTTGTTCACAGGCATCACTATATGCATGTTTCTGAAGTTATTGCATTCTACTACTGCTACGACAACTGTTTTTAGTACAAACGATATTTCGCTTGTTGACCGGTTAGTGTAAGGAATTATACATATGCATGGAAGGTAAACAAATTGTCAACTTCATGATATATGGAAAAATTGTATGAAACCGGCAGTAATGTGTATACAATCAGTTAGTGGAAATATGTAAAGTTTTATTAAAATACACTTTCAATCGTATTATTTAATTTTTATGCTGACAGAAGTCAACTTACCAGATAAAGAGAGAAGAGAGAGAGACAGAAGTGGGGAATTTACACATCTTATGTTCACTTCAGTAGTATTGAAGGAAAAAGAAATAACATCGATTGAATGCTACGCATAAACTTAATTTACCTCACTTGTCGCCTGATTTCAGTGTCATTTTGATTAATAAAATGGAACAGCCAAGATTTTTAACTGGATGGACTCCATTTTTAAAGACATTTGTGAATAGTAATCGAGCTGTGAAGGCATTGTGGGCAATTTTCGCTATATGCATGGTAATTGCTCTGGTTAGCTCCGTGACTGTAGTCGTCCTTAAATACTTAAATTACGTAACAGTTGTCCGACTGGACCAAAGAGGTCCTAAAGACGGCGTACCACCACCAGCAGTCACAATATGTCTTGCTGAACATCAAACTAAATACTTAAAGCTACAGTATTATAGGAATAATACACAGTTAAGCATTATACAAGGGATACGTAAATCATGTAATCTTAAATCTAAAATCACGTGGGACTCCAGTGTCGATGCTATTTCACAGTTTTACAATAATACAAAACACTTTCAAGTGATACTTCGAACTGAACCACCTGGATGTTATTCAGTCAGTGTAATGGAACAAGTGCCCTGGCCCCCAGATTCAATTTGTACTACATTTCAATTGGCTCAAGATTTATCGTTCAATTCATCATTCTGGAAAATAGTAAGTTTCCTTTCCTTTTATTTAACCGCCATAAACCATTTAATAAAAAAAAACTTCTACATATGTAATTGCTACATGACTACTAAGTTGTATATCTGCATTTTGATTAGCTTAAACAATACGTTAGAAAAAACCATCACAATTTAAAAAACGCGCTTATGCTATTGATTTTTATGTGTTAGTCTTTTCATTTCAAATTTCAAGACGGTCTGTGTGATTTTAGTTTCACGCTATTAAATACACAAACTGAAACATTTAATTGCTTTGGATTGATAAAATAAGTTGGCGGATCATGTAGTGAAACACAATCATTAAGTAAAAATTAAAAAAAAACTATTGTGCACAGTAAATTTTGGAACGATCAAGTCATAGGGAAATCTTGTACACTTGGTTTCTTGACTGTTTGCACTTATCAGTAAGGCGTTTCTATATTTTTGTAAGGAGTTCCATGTATGTTTCATGTGCGACTGGGACATGAATTGCATAATATAAAATAAAAAACAATTTACCGATAAGCTATTCAAATAATGGGAACCAGATGTTAGCTAGTGCAGCTATCTAGTACTGAGTATATTCAGGCAAACCCATACACAAATATCCTAAGTATGCATAATATTAAAAATGCAGTCAATATTATGTCATTTTAAGAGTGAATACGTTTATACAGCCCTCATTAGTTAGTTGAGTGTAACGCTTAACTTCAGTGACATATCATCTAAGATAACAACCGGCACCTCCTAACAATTCACTCATATGTGTTACCAGCAGGAGATTCTGGTGAGTTTTCTCTCACTTTAGGAGTAACATCAAAGATGTTCATGAGTTTTACCATTCTACTAAGTAAGTCCCTAAAATAACTATTTCTGATAATTGGAAAAAATTGTCCACCCCAACACTCAAACTAGTCGCGCATCTCAGAAATGTTAAACAAGATTAAAATGGTATTAAAAATAGTTATACTCTCTAACTATCTAGTACAATCTAGCCGACACTAAATCGTTATTATTACAGTAATAATATGTGACTTTACAGTTTTTTCGTCATTTTAGTCTGTCGTGAAAGCCCTATATAGGTTGGTGGTAGTGACATAAATTATTCGACAATCAAGTTTATACAGCATTTTAGAATAATCTTGAAAGTACTCAACGCTACAAAAGCATACATACATATATATATACACGTCATTTTTGCTCTTTAAATGTTCTGAGTTCTCTCTTCTACTAAGTTTAGGACTTGTGTAAGACAATTTCAAGTAGCACTTAAATTCTTTACATCATAAACTCAGGAAGCCTATAAATATAGATATTATGTTATATGTTTGAATAACTGTCAAATACTTTATTCTGTTATCGTGAACCATGCTAATTGTAAAGCCTTCTTGAAGACTCTACAAAATGATATCATCTCGCAATATTTGCCCTTCTTAATGCCCAGTTTAAGAATGTACATTTATATTTGTGTATAAATTCCTTATTATGAGTAGTTATCGTGTGTTTTTTCTTTCCAATTGTCTTTTGCCTTGAACACGGCCTTATTACTTTTGATAAAATAAAAGGAAAACGCACAAAAATCGTACTTACTCTCACTATTTGACTAACGAAATTAGTGTAAGAACAAAGCATGACATGATTATGCATCCTAATTATGTCAGAGGCAATCAGCAGTCAGCGTCAACATTGTTTTTATGCCCTAAAACGACTAGGATTAATTAGAATTTCTGTTTGACATGTCCATCATTTCTAATTTATTGATAAATTACCAGGCTGTTTAATTTACTAGATTGGATAATAACAGTAGCCATGATACACTAACTGACGCTACACTGATCTTACTTATCTATCAAGATTTTTCTTTCAGTGAAAAAAATACTGACGTCACAATTTGTTGCATTTTATAATCAACATTTTTTTTCTTTTAAAAATGAGTTTCTAAAATATTCATTTATTGAAAGTAGAAATCATCAATCCAATTAGATGTCACGTGTGTGGATGGATGTCCCACCAACGACAATGGTTGGGGTCGCGCTAAAATCACGAATTGGTAGAAGTTAGAATTCATGAGCCATTGAATCGGGTCCCAGTGGCTGGATGGTATACGAGCTTGCCTTATAACCGGAAGGTCCTGGGTTCGAATCTCAGTGGGTGCGTACTGCCGATGATTCCCAAACTAGGATGAAACAGCAGCTGTCCAGTACTCCCTGGTTTTCAATGGTTCTCTAACTGATATCAGTCCGTGATCAACTCGTAAAACATCAATATACAAATGAAGATGAGTTCACCTTTATGCCTTGACTAAATTCATCTCATCCGTACCAAATAACATCTAAATGGTCAATAAATTCTTCTAAGAAAGACGAATTGTACGCAAAAATATCGAAAGAAGTATTAAGCGTAATCAAAGAGACTACTAAAGAGACAAATAAAGCTTTTGATTCTTATGTTGAGACTGATTCCTGAGAGGCCGAAATTCATTTCTGCTAATGAAGTATGCGGCCTGTAAGCAACCTCCCGTAGGAAAAACTGACGTATCAATAAGCTGCGAACTATTACATCGTTTCATGTAGTTTGGAAGTAGTGGTTTCGCGTTAGATCACGGATTGATAACAATTAGCGAATCTTTGCATGGTAGGAAGTGCTTGCCAGCTTTTTCCACCTTGTTTGAAACTCTTCGGCAGTAAACAGTCATGATCCCTATGAGGACTGGAGCCAAGATTATCAGGTTACGAGGCGATCCAGTTTACCATTCAGCCACTGGGAAGGGATCACATAGCCTATGAATTCTAACTTCTCTCAGTTCACCAATTGTACAACTACCGCCGGCCAGTCTCATCGAGGGAGTTATCCTTCTCACACCCATCCCGGTGGGTCGCCTTGGTCACGAATTCTCGTTAGAACTCCAGGCGAATTCATCTAATATTCAGTCACTAGTGAGCATTAGATTGACTTTCATTTGTTGGTTTGCAGGTATTTGATCAGTGTCAAGTTAAATCATGATATCACATCGGCTATAGAACCATTTAAAGTGATGACTTAACTTCATGGACTAAAATATTTATTATGTTTGTCAGTGCCTGGTTCCGGTGAACATCCGTCAGTATTCAGTCATACAGCAAGTATTTCAGTTGGTCAACAACTATATTACAAAAGTGGCTGATATAGTTTAGTTAGAACATGACATTGACTACTCCTCAAAAAATAGTTTTCAAGTGAGACAAAACTGTTTCATTTAGTAGATAATAATAATAGCTTCATTCTGAAGAATGTTTTACACACAGTACAAAACTCTCGAAATATTTTTTTAGTTGAATGGTGTTTACTCTTCGTACAGTATCTGTAGATAAAATAGTAATCGACAGTGTACCGTGTGACTCAATGCAAGATCGATTACCTTCCAACAGTTTGTGTTTATTTTTATGCAGCGACCTCCACATTATAGCTTACCAGCGTCATCATTTAATCAGATGAAATGAACTGCATTAGTGTTCTTAAAGAATGGAAATGCTGTAATAATTAAGAGAATAAGTTTTCCACAAAACATCTCTTTGACACCACGATGGTTGGTATGCGTTCTGGAGACAAGTAAAATGTATATATGTCTGCATGTGCATCAGTCGTTCAATGGAAAAGTGTTCACGAGCCATGCAAGAAGTTTAAGATTAAATTTCTCGAGCCAGTAGTAAAACGGAAAAATATATAAAGTTATGCCTGTAACTAATATCCCCGCCCCATCGGAAGAAAACACCTCCTGCTCCTGAAAACTTAAAGCATGACACCCTATTTTCCATGTAAAGAGGAAGAAATGACAGAAAACAAATGTCCGCATTGAGCATTATCCTCGGCGCATCAAAAACAATAATAGAGTGTGATATTCTGCATTATCCTTTTGTCAGTTAAACTAAATTAACTAATCGATATGTAAATGACATTCAGTTAGAGGGATTAAAATGCCTCGCTTTTCCTTATGTTGCCTTCTCTATTATCTGTATTTTCAAAATGCCGAATACCATGTTCATTGATTGATCTGCGTCACAAAGACAAACGTTAATCATTTAGTGATCGCTGTATGTTTGGTTGTTTTAATCCGCTCCACATAGTCAGTTTATAACTTGTAAAAAGTAATTCGAGAGGAAATATTTTAAAACAGTTATCATAAAGCACACTATTCATGTTCCATGGAATTTTAAACATTTACATCTGGTTATCAAGCCCACTGAACTGCCTTAAAATTGAACCCAACCAGTAGTTTTCATTAATGAAAAGATAGAACATTGGCACATTTATTTGACATTCACATTTGAATATGAATTTATCAAATGAGTAAAACTGACTTTATGTTTACATATTCAAGAGAAATATATGGACCTTATATTCTCTGGTTGATGGATCGCTGCCAGTGGAATCCAAGACGCACGTTTTGCCTTATTTGGTACTCGTCAGATAGATGTACCTACATCGTAAGTTGACATTGGTGTTCCCGCTAGAACCCGAATCCAGCACCTATTGTTCCAAACACCAAAGCTTTATCCAATAAGTCAGTGGATCAAGAGATCCACCTTCAGTCATTCGGTGAAAACATCATTTCTTAATTTTCCGTCGATTGATCTTACACAGACTGAGACGCTCAGTCTGTGTTGGAATTCTCGCTCCTACTGCGAACGGCTCGATGATGCAACGAAGCCTCTGCACACCCAATTGATTGATATATAAGCGTCAAGAGAGTTTAGTGAGTGTGTGTATCCTGAATTCCTATCCAGTGCAACCTTTGTTTTTAATCTTATTTTCTATGCATCATATCAATATGAGATTGAAATTTTTTTGAAAACAACTGGGCAGATGGTGTGAGACAAAACAGCAAAGCTATTCAATCAAATGTGGATTATAAGTAACCTGAAATTTGGACACATTTATTCTATTACATTTGGTTAACCCAGAAATAGGTCATGTAAATGCTACTGCTAAAATTACTGCTAATTTGTGGAATGCAAATGGAATCCAATAAAA